AAAAAAAAAAAAAAAAGGAATGCTTGGTTATGCTAGGAAATTGCACATGGCTCCTTTTATCTTCTATGTTAGGATCAATAGTATGATTGCCGCTAGCGCATTAAAAAGCTCTTTTATTTTTTTTTGCCCCCTTCACAATGTTTTTTATTGCTGATCCATGAATCTTTCTGTATAAATGCTCTAATACCATGCCAGCTAAGTCAACTTTCTTTGATGGTTCTGGTTTTTGCTTGCTTTGAGGTTATATATCCTTTTGGATAGACTTTATTTTCGACAAGTGCCGTGCTTGTTTTACTGTTTTGGGCAACCTTCTTGCTGGTTTGATGAGAGATTTGGATGACTTGACATAGAATTTCTTCTTTTAGTTAAGCAAACTGCCAGTGAAATCATTCAGCTGTAGGCCCTTTGGCAATTCTATTATGGGAAGAGAACTTTGTGTTGCTGAAATTGAAGTCCAGAAGGGCAAGCCCTTGCTTGTTGCCACTAGCCATCTTGAAAGCCCCTGCCCGGGTCCTCCAACATGGGACCAGATGTTTAGCAAGGAACGCGTGGAGCAGGCGACAGAGGCTCTCAGCTTTCTCAAGAAGAACCAAAATGTGGTTTTCGGTGGTGACATGAATTGGGATGACAAGTTGGACGGTCAGTTTCCTTTACCAGATGGATGGAGTGATGCTTGGGCAAACTTAAGGCCAGGAGAAAATGGTTGGACATACGATACCAAGTCCAACCAGATGTTGTCCGCAAACCGCACTTTGCAGAAGCGTCTAGATCGTTTTGTTTGCAAGTTGCATGAGTTCAAGATCAGTGGAATTGAAATGATTGGGATGGATGCAATACCGGGTCTATCATATATCAAGGAAAAGAAAGTGAAGAAGGAGATCAAGAACTTGGAGCTTCCTGTTTTGCCCAGTGATCATTATGGCTTGCTTTTGACAATCTGTAGCGAGTAAAGTCTGTTCCGCGAAGTAAATGATCCAGTAAATAAGCAACCGGAAGAAGTCAATGGTCGAGTTTATGCTTGGTATTTTGCAGAGTTTCCATGCGTGATATGCATGCAGTTATGTATAATTACCGGTGAAATGATGTAAAGCTGGTACATTTTGTAAGGTATACTTAATTTCGAATGAAACGGATGCACTTTGGGAGTATTTTGTCATTTCATCTTTACCATGGAGAAGAAGTCTTTGTTCGACCATCTCTTCCCACTTACTGTAATTCATATTTAAGCTTTTTGTGAAAAGTTAGAGATAGAAGATATCTGCCGAGGTTATCAGAATTTTTCTTCTAAACAAAGAAGAAGAGGGGGAAAAAAAAGTACAATATTTTCATTAGTCACATACCTCTTAAGTTGCAGGACTTTCAAACCTAGATAACCGTGGAGGATCTGCTGAAAAGCCGATAAAGTCGGTGTATCAAAAAAGCCTCTTCCTGATCAAGTTACATCACCTCTAGCAAATAATTCCTATAGCAAAAAACTAATAATAAAGCCCCGCTTTTTAATTTGAGTTTTTCAATTTGAATTGAGATGTGATATTTTTAAAAAAATTTTAATTATAATAAAAAAGATTAGATGTAATATTTTTTGAGAATTTTTAACTGTAATAAAAAAAATTA